CACACACACACACACACACACACACACACACACACACACACACACACGGTAAGACCTTGGCTTAGTCCCAAATAAGAAGAGAACATTAAAAAGGACTTAGAACAGATGAGCCTTTATGGCTCCCTTAGGGTGCTCTCTGGTCTCATTAAGTTTTAAGTTTATTTTCTTGAGTAGTGTGTTGTGGCAGAATGGACACAAATGCTAAAAGCAGGAGGTGGGGAGACAGAGGGGGAATGAGGCTGAACTGGTTACTCTGTCTGTTCCCACAGCCCTTAACTTGGGGTCTGTGTAACATCACAGTGTGTTGGGGGGGTATTGTCTGAGTGATCTCTATGACAATGGATCAGCCTCACCAGCACAATCTGCTTCACGGGGCTGAAATCAGACACTTTGGCTCTTGTCTTAAAGTCCCGTATGATGTCGTCTTTTTTCAGCAGCTTGTAAGGGCTCTCCCCTGTGACGTCCTCATCAGCGCGGCACCCGAAGAGCTCCTGGGTGGCTGATGTCAGGACCATGGGGACGATATCATCGGGGTGACCTTGGTGAGAGAGCACACAATCGATACAGACAAGAAAGATGGTAGAGAGAGGAAGTACACATAAAAATGAGCTAGATTCAAACCTCTCTAGTGAAGACAGAACATGAGGAACATCGGATGAATTGCTCAATAATAACATCACTTGTTGGTCACTTTTCAAGATGCTGATACTCACATTTCAAAACACCATTTTTTTCACGAGGGCTAAGAATGTTTTGATGTTTTGAGACTTTTTACTTTTATAAATACATTTACACATGTTACAGTAATTTAGGCCAAGCAATGATGATCTAAAAAAAATAAATTGTTTATAGATCTGAAAACATGAAGCCCCATATCAAAATAATGTAAACAAACAAGAAAGGAAACTCTGGTGAATTTACCCAGAAACACAGTGTCAGCTATATTCAGTATAAAGGAAAAGGCCTCATAAAAGTCAATCTTTAGGTTCAATCTGAAATCACAATTCGAGGTGTTTTTGTCAGAAACCAGAACATTTGATGCTGTATGGTGTTGACAATGATAATAATGAGCCATGTGTTTAATTGTCATGTCTATGCGGTCCGTCTATAATCTGCTCAGTGACAGACATTTAACCAGGATCGTTACGATATAAAACCGTAGCACTGCATCCGTCACAAGTACACTTTACCTTAGTAAACAAACAATCGACGCAGACTTCTCCATATCTAAGGCCATGCTCAGTCCAGGGCGCACTACAGTAAACAGGGCTCTGCATAATGATAGTTTCTAAGTCGTTCCACGAGGTTGCTGAGGGGATGCAGGGAATGCTAAAGTACAGCTTGAGAAACCACTTCCCAGCTGGGCGTGTCAACCTTTCCCACTCACACCAGTTAGGCCTCACGCCAGATCATTGGAGTGGAAAATAACAGCCTTCAGTTCACACAGTTAAGTGTCAACTATGGCACTTGTATTCATGGGAACTATTTGCTTAAGAGACGAAGAGAGTACTATGTTCAATGCTCCATAACCCTAAAGAATGGAATTAAACTTAGTGGGCTGTGTTGAAGAGATATTGACATTTGATATTGAGATATTTGTCTGGCTTCTTTTCACTTGCATAATCCACTCACAGCTAGCATTTTGACTGCATACTGTAAGATGTGTTTAATGTACCACAGTACACTGTAAACATAGCACTTTGTTTTCATCTCTGGTGATACTGAAGAATTTACATCTGAACAATAGGGATTTATCAGCTGATAAGATGACCTGTCACTTATATCATCAAGGTCCTTGAGAAATGGGTTCAGTAAATGTTAGGGTTAAGACTTGGTTTTAGGTTAAGTTAAGGTCTGTTTTTTTTCATGCCCTGTCCACACTACTCCGTTTCTAATTGGATGCAGATTTGTCAAATAGAAACGATCTCCGTCCACAAGGGAGTTTCAGCATCATTCTCGAGTTGATCTGCGTCCACACGGCAGCCTTCGAAGGCGGACAGCACGTGACCATTAACGTACACTGGGCATGCCCGTGACGGTGTAAACAGGAAGTGGATTGCTTGCTTAGTTAAAAAAAATAAAAAATAAATAAAAAATAAAATAAATAAATAAATAAATCCTCCGTGTTGTAGATGTCTGTTCTCACGAGTAGCTCTGAACGTCATGTCCGCCTAGCTAGCTTCTAAGCCAATTTTAACATTACCGCCAATGGAGAAATGCTAACCGCGATTAGCATTACAGCGCTGCGGGTCTATCTCTCTCTCACATCAAATTTACTTTAAAATCAACACTTACACGTAAACGTTTACTAGAATATGGGTCCATAAATGTGGTCAACACACGTCTCTCACTCTATTCTGCTCTTGCTTCGTGCAGGAAAGCTTAGCAGATCGCTAACAGTAAATCCGTGAAATAAAGACCATGGAATCCATAGAAGAGTTTCAAGACTTCAGTGTGAATCTTTCTTATTTGTAAAACTGTGGAAACACAATATGAAATATGGCTTTACAAACTGTCCCTATACACATACATGAATACAAAACAACAATCCATAATATAGCCAGCATGTAACATGTCCGCCTAGCTAGCTTCTAAGCTAATTCTAACATTACCGCCAATGGCGAAATGCTAACCGCGATTAGCATTTAATACAACACAAATGTTACACACGAATAGAATATATCTACGTACATCTTTTCATGCTTCATAAATACATACTTACAGACTAAGGTCTCTCAAGGCTACCAAACGGAAGAAGTAAAACGTTAGTGCAGCGTGTCTTCTCATTAGAATCTAAAAACAACGAGCTGCTCCATAGGACTGATGCTGGTCACGCTGCTCGCCAATCACTCCAATAACAGCTGCTTCCTCCACAGAAATGCAGACTTTTACTGCACAACAGCTGCTAGCTGCTGCTGCTAACACGGGTGTGGGCGTAATTTTTTCTAAGCACATCCGTATCCGACCGTCCACACGCAAACGCAACCCCGGAGTTCTCAAATACCTCCAACCTCGGCGGAGTTTTCAAATTCCTCCGTTTAGGGTGCTCCAAAACTCCGGCGTAGTGTGGCCGCTCAGTGTAAACGTAGCAAATACGGAGTAAAAACGGAGTAGTGTGGACAGGGCCTCAAGGTTAGCTTATGGTTAGAGTAAAACTCTTTTGGATGTGTTCAATTAGGAGATCTAACAGACTTGAATTTATATTGCTGGCTGTATAAGATGGAAATGGGTGAAATTAATGAATAAATAAGCAAAACAGATCTGAATCTGAGGACTCTTAACACCATCGATTTTAACTCCCACAAGAGCCAATGATCTAATCTATAGTAAAAAGATACCTTTGGTGATGCACTTAACCAAAAGCATGTCTTCAGGGCTGGTATGCTGACAGTAAACTAGACCATGACAATGAGACCCACAGCTGAGTAGATGGCGTGTCCAAAGGATATGCAGCAGTACACTCATGGTCACATCAGAAGAATGCATAGAGCTTTACCAACTCCTCAAAGACAAGTGTGAGTATTAGCTATAGCAATGCTTGTTACATCTCTACTTCAAAGTCAGATTTAGGTGACCTACAATATCCAACAACAACCTGAATATATAGCGTTCATAAAAGAACCAAATAAATGAAGGTAATCAAATACAAAGACTTTAGTTATCTGTAAAGGCCATGTAAGATTTACGAGACTTCTAGTTAATATAATCTAAGACAATTCAAATTCCCTTTAGGATCTGAACTTACTTTTAGATAGTTGCATCTATACAGAGTACAGCAAACACTAAGCTCGGTTTACCGCCTAGTTTTACTGAAATTGTTCATCTTTTCAAGTTGATATGAATGTGAATGCACTACGTTTTAAGTAAATACTTAAGGAATGAAAGGTATTCTTTTATTGTCTCATCTACATATCAGTTCAGGATGGGAATACACAAGTAACAAAAGTTAAATTAGGCTTTTCCACATGTGCAGGTGACCTAAATGGGAAGTAACAGTCAGTTCACCTTTTCATTTACTGTGTGTCTCTGTTTGATCGTCCTGAGACCAACATGCATACATTTAAACACATTAACACTCTACTAATATTAAGACACTCACCTTTACCTTTCCCCTTACTGCCTGCACTGCTTTTTGCACTTTTGGATTTCTTACGTGGCATCCTTGCTCTTAGAATAGCTCCACTAGTGAGAGGGAGAAAGTTTCGTACAACGCAGTGTTACCTTTCTCCTCAAAACACCAAACTCTGTACTTTTATCTACATATATTTCTATTTGATTGACCAACTGTCAGAGTGAAACTTTCAATTCACACACTCCCCACAATGACACAAGAGTCTCGCTGTAATAATCATTATCAAAGCAGGTGGCGACATCTTCTGGAGGAAAAGAGAAGTGTCCTGTCATTTTTACTTTGACTTAAAAGAAGGATCCTAGAATATGACGAGTGTGTTTAGATTTACTTTAGCTGTGAAAACAAAATCGAGTCCTCCGGCTGACATACATGTTTATGGTTTACATCCGTTTTAAGGTTATAATTAATGATATGAGTGGGGTATATGGAAATAATCATGTTTCAGATAAAAGAAGCAATGTCACAACAAAGTTCAGCAGTACATACATTATTATAAGCAGCATAATGCATGTCTGTCTTTTTTATTCTTCTTTTTATATTATTACTAATAAGAAGACGGTCAAAACATTGTTGTTTGGCAAACAGCAATATACAAACAATATAAATAATTATACTGTGTAATATCCCGAGTGAGCATCTCTCCATTGAAAAGACTAAAATTGCTACGTATTTTACTGTGAGCATTTCGATGGTTAACACGTTTAAAACACGATGACGGCTGTTTGTTTTCCATTGACACGCTAACGTTAAGGTTTTGTTAAACTCACAATATTCGCAGTCAAACGTAACTAGAGATGCAGCTTCTAAACACCAGTTAACGTTCAATTATAAATAATAAACATGTCGTTTACCGTTAAACCGTTGAAACTTGAAATCCTCTCCCGCTCATCGGTATTACTGTTTGGTTGCCAGTGGTAACAGGAGTGTGTGTGTGTGTGTGCGTGTGTGTGTGTGTGTGTGTGTGTGTGTGTGCGCGCGTGTGTGTGTGGTGGTGGGGGGGATTGACTGACATGTCCAAGAGCCAATCAGGGCCTGGCAGTAAAATGACGTTGCATCGTCGTAGAAGAAGTTACCTGTTTGAGGAGTTTTGCCCACAAGGCAACATACGAACACACACTTCAACCGAGTTTAATCCGTTTACTTCAGTCATGATTCTCACAGTCAAACAACTGTTTAAATAGCCGAATTCATGAATGTTTATGAGACCAAGACATTTTGGACACAGGTGAACGCAATCAGTTGATTAACCTGCTGCGCGGCCTTGGTAAGTAACGTAAGACTATCGGCTTATTTTAAATTTCCTGTTCACTGTTCGATATGATCCACGGGAGATGATCTGAACGTCTACACGACAAGTAATGAATATTAATAGTTTGCCTGTACACCTGTACAGTCTAATTAAACATTTGAAGCCTTTAATGTTCAGTCTTTGTTAATACTATCAAGTGTTCAACCTTTTCTTTCGGCCATAGTTTGGAGGGCAAGTGTGTTTGATCTCGTAATGGTAGGAAGTGTTTCTATTCTATAATGTTGTTCCCTTGAGGTCTTAAATAGACTTCACTATAAGGAAGGAACACTACAACACCTCACTACGGTCTCAAGAAATATGAGTTGAATCACAATCTCTCTGACACAGTGCAGGCAGAAAAAAGGAACATTATAAGCTTCAAGAATAAATGATTTATTGCATAGCAACTGTATTTGGTTGCTTTACATTTTACAGATGTACACATAAACTAAACACCTCATTTGCTCAAGCTAGTTGTGAAGTTGTTTTTGATTATTGGTGCCACCGAGGCTACACTTTAGTTTTAAAGTCCAAACATGGAAATGGAAAAAAGAAAAGGATCAACAATTTAGCATTTCTTCCTCACATTAAATAGATCTATTGTTGTAATGCAAGTTTGTGTTGAACGTAAGTCACCCGTGTTTTATTAACTGTAGATATGGAGGAGCCCAGTGACTTGCATGACATAAATGGCTCCCCTCCCTGGGCGGACCACCAACATCAGTGTGTGGAGGAGCTGGACAATGTGGAGTGTCTCAGAAGGAAGATCAAATATTACTTCATGAACCCCTGTGAGAAGTACCACGCTCGCGGCCGAAAACCATGGAAACTCATCCTGCAAATCATCAAAATTGCCATTATTACTGTGCAGGTAAAAATCTCAGACATGACCTGAACATGTGTTGATTGTGTTGCTTCACCACCCTGATGACAATTGACTTCTTTTCACCCCCTCATCTTAGTTAGTGTCTTTTGGGCTGAGCAACCAGATGGTTGTCATGTTCAAGGAGGAAAATCTGATGACATTCAAGCACCTCTTCTTGAAAGATTATGTTGATGGAGGCATGGATACGTATGCTGTTTACAGACAGGCTGATGTTTATGATCACATCGATTACATCATTGAACAGGTGACTGACGGCTAGCTTTACTTGTAGTTTCTTCCGTGTAAGGAACACCAAGAAGGCGTGATTTTATTTGATGGTTGCGTCAGTTTATTTTGATTCATGTGACACATTTTCCTTTTGCGTTACTGTAAATCATTATTGGCATTATATAACTATTTGCTTGTGTCACCAAAGAGCTTAACAAGCTCCCATGACAAGATGTAGCTCGTCATGGGATTGGACTTTGTTCATGTTATTTGAATCTTTTCATTTAGTTTTGTAGATTTTTGACTGCATAAATCTAACCCTGAACTGTTGTAACAAATGTTAATTGTTAATTTCCAGTATGGACATCTGCACAACATCACAGTAGGCAATCACGAATACGAGAAAAATGGTACTTTGTACAACCCCCTGTCAGTGTGTGAGGAGTTGTACAGAAACGGTACCATCTACGCGGGCAATGAGACCTTTGAAATTGATGCCCAAGTGAAAACCGGTACGTATGCATGAGTGTTTGACTTGTGCATGGGAAAGCAGATTACTTAACCAGGTTTAATAATTTTAGTTGCCTTTTTTTGTGTTTTGTTTTGTTTGTTTTGGCATCTAACAGATTGCTTTGACGTTTATCCGATGTATCATCCCGCACTTCCACGTTTCGAATTGCATTTCAAAAGGTTTGCACCCAACATTTAATTCAAGTCTTCTGCTCTCGTTTGTATACGGTATGTGAAACGCCTCAGTTAATGCATCAGCTCTGTCTTCCAGGATGATTTCTGTCAAGATCACGTTTGTTCTTAAGGCCATAAATTTACAGACGGTGAGACGTCGAGAACTGCCGGACTGCTACGACTTTACTGTTATTGTAAGTCATTTGACTCAGTAAACAGGATCACATCAGACTTTGTCTTCTAAAAGCAGTGATTTGACACATCTGATCACTGCATTGCTGCCATAACGGTGACAATGATTCCTTGTGACACTGCAGCCGTTCACACAGCACAGATAGGAGGTCAAATGAAAAGAGACGGTGTGAAACTTGTGTTTATTTAATGAAACTACCCGAGGACACACATTTGAGCAGTCTTTAAATAAGGCATTTTGCACACAGTGCCTGCTATGAACATAGTCAAATGTTATCTTAAGGGGCGTGGAAAGTGAATGTTTAGCTGTTGGGTTTGACTTTAAGGATGTAGTCCTTTTCTCAAACTGTCTTTCCTCCTTTAAACATGACTCTGGTTAACAGATAACCTTCAACAACCAAGTGCACAGCGGCAGGATAAAGGTTGACCTGGAAAACGATGTAGACATCAATGAATGCAGAGACTGGAAAGTAACTGGAGCTTGTGAGTTTGCTGAGCTGAACTTAGTATGTACAAAATGATCATCTTGCTTTAAGCTCATGTCCTGGGACTCATTAAGGCTGCTCTCTTAGCTTGAGACTCACAACATCTGTTTGAAGATGTGCGTCCTTTTCAGGTGAGTCATTTTAATCTCTCTGTTCCCTCAGCTGCTAGAAACATATACCTGACTGTGCTGTTTGACTGCCTCATCATTATAACGTGCATCACCTCCTTTGCCCTCTGCACACGCTCAGTGATCAATGGGATTCGACTGCAGTTTGTAAGTTAATTGAACTGACCATAAAACACAGCAAGAATGTTTGTTTTTCCACTCTGTAGTTTATTTGCTCAGATGTAAGAAAGGTATGATTGTCTGATACATTTCTCTTTATTATACTACTGTATTTATAAAGTGGAGGTAAGCCAAAGACCTGTAACACCCCCCCAAATCAATACTGAATTTAGTAAAAGCATTATTAAGAGTTAAAACACATAAAAATACTTTACGATTGTTATTGCTGATGATGCGTAATTGTGTAAGTAACATTTTACTGTTGTAGTTGGTTGAGATGTAGCTAATTTGGGAATACTATATTTTTACAGTTCTTATAATTTCCTGGAAAGGAAGTAATATGTAGCTCTAAGTTCATCTGAAGGTTCATGGAAAGAAGGAAAGACGTACTTTGACATGAAATTATGTTGACATACTATACTATGGCCTTTTTGCACAATACTACAATTACTTTTTATCCTATTTTTATGACATACTGGACTATAACTTTTCTATGGCATACTATACTATCGAAAACGTCTTTACAAACATTAACAGTACAACTACCTGTATTTCATTGTGTTGTAAACAGGAGTACACACTCCATTGCAAGGACCACGGCGGTAATCAAGTCCCATGCTCAGACAAGTTGGAGTTTTTGAATGGTTGGTACATCCTCATTATCGTGAGCGACACTTTGACCGTCATTGGCTCCATTCTCAAGATAGAGATCCAGACTAAGGTAATGGGGGTATGCTATACACAGCATGACTGAGGTTGATCCATGTCAATTGTTTTGCTATATTACATTATAAGAGTACTAGAAGCTGTCTACACTGTGCATGTACTCATGTGTATTCCTTCAGTCAAGTCTTTTAGAGATCCACTTTTTCTTTAAGGTCCTCACTAGTTATGATGTCTGCAGCATCCTCCTTGGGACCGGTACCATGTTTGTCTGGATCGGGGTCATCCGCTACATGGGATACTTTAAGAAGTATAATGTAAGACCAGACCATTCATTTACAACACATGCAATGCAATAATTCAACAATACCAATGCCACATGGTTTACAATAGACAATCCCGTACAATGCAAATGCTACAGTTGCACTCATCATCTTTGCTCTTTTACTGTTAAAAGAGAAGCTACAGTCATGTGTGTGGCATTCCAGATACTTTACTGATCTTTTTGCTATCTGTTGTCTGTGGCCATTTTCAGATTCTCATCCTGACTCTGAGGGCAGCGTTCCCAAATGTAATCCGTTTCATCTGCTGTGCTGGAATAATCTACCTGAGCTACTGCTTCTGCGGCTGGATTGTCCTTGGCCCATATCACGAGAAGGTAAGGCTTGTTTACATAATACAAAGACAAGTCTGCTGGATACCAGAACATATTTTCAATCCAGGTTCTTCTCATTTCAGTAGTGGAATGTAACTAAGTACATTTACTTAAGTTCTATTTCAAGGTACTTGTATGATACTTTATACCCTGATGGTTAGAAATCACAAGCTATGCAGCTCTACATACATTTGTTAAAATGAGCACCCTTCACCATCTGCAACATTTAAATAATTCACACATGAATGCATCATTGATTATAATGCAATACAGATTATTATGACTATTCCGCATAATGAGTACTTTTGGTACTATCTACTTGGAAATACTTTCGTACTTTGCTTGAGTATTTCAACACTGTGGTACTGTATTTGTCCAGGTAAAAGAAGTGGCTACTTCTTCCATCACTGGTTAATCATGACACACAAGTAAAACCCTTCCTTCTCTTTGACCGGTTGTTTTAGTTTCGGACCTTGAATACGGTGTCGGAGTGTCTGTTCTCCCTGATCAACGGAGACGACATGTACCCCACCTTTAAGAACATGAAGCAGAAGAGCAGCCTGGTGTGGATCTTCAGCAGGGTCTACCTCTATAGCTTCGTTTCGCTCTTTATCTACATGATCCTCAGCCTGTTCATCACCATCATCACCGACACCTATGACACCATTAAGGTGATGTTTACTCCTTTCAGATATTTGTAACCCGCTATTATTATTTTCCCTACCTAATGCTCAGGATGATTTGTATGCTGGCTATTCGGAGAAGAGTAATATTTCATTTGCAGTTATAGCAAACTAATAACGGTCACTTTTTGCTACTCATTTAGCAGCAGCAGAGTGGAAACCCAACATCAGAGCTGCAGAAATTCATGTCGGGGTGTAAAGATCTGCCAAATTCTGGGGTGTACAGACTTGACGCGAACAAAGGCTGCTTCTTGGACTGCTGCATTAGCAGGTAGGTGAAATGCAGCTCACACTGGCCCTTTCAGTCTGATATTGTTGGCACCATTTGCTTTCTAATGCGGTAATGTCAACCATTCTGGATGTCCCTTATCAGCACTAATTAAACTGGATGCAAGTGCAGTGTGCCAAAGCACTTTTTTAATACTCTATGTAGTTGGTGGACATAAGTGAATCTAAGCTGAGCTATTTTCTCCTTTCAGGTGCAGGAAGCATCATAACAGGCTGACTTCAGAGGCATAGCAGGCGTTTAATGTGGTGTCATTAAACTGTATCGCCTGTTATATATTCAGTGGGAGTCTTAAATATACTTTAACATTATGCTCCTGGTTTGCTCAGGAGATTGATTTCATGTGAAGGAGCATTTCTTTCAGTGCTGAAAAGACAGTTTGAGACACTAATGAAGTCTGGTCTTTATGATGCACAGAGCACTTTTAAATACACTTATTTATACTGATGTGTAGATTGTTACACTAAAGTTTGAAGCATGTTATTTGGAAGGATCCCAATGTTGTACACTGAAGATAATAAATCAAGGTTGACTCAATGAGTAAACTGTAAACTTACAAGATTTTATTTCTCCATTGTGAAGAGAAGGTTCCAATACAAAAGCCAAAATTACATTTTTTTTTTTCCTCACATTAATTCCTTGTAAAACGTTGCAATAAATAAAATTCCCATTTCTGGTCATGGCAATAACTCCGCCCATACAGGTCTTGGGAGGCCGATAGATACTCTGTCTCAAATAGTCACTACTGCAGTAGTAGCGGTGGATGTGGACCTTTATTTCCCAAGAGAAGATTTGATACCGAGTTATTGTTGGTAAGATCAATTCAAGCCAAGATGTACTGCAATGTTCCAATTTGCTTAATTGCTTGAGATAGGTTCATATATTATCTTTTTTGTCCATCATCATAAAGCAGAAATCCCTTCAGTTTGGCTTATGTCCTTGAGTGCCTTTAGTCCAGACAACACGACCCAGTTTGTGTGAACGGCTTGATGCAGACGCCACTGGGAGAGGTCTTTGATTAAAATACCCAGCATTGGTCCCTTAGTTTTAGAAGGCGGAGCGGCACACCTCTGGCCGTTCAGTCGGGAGCCCTAAAACATTGACAAGAGACAGCTGTGAGTGCAGTTATATGAGCTGATGCATATCAGGAGCCCGAGTAGCCACGTATACATCACTGACTAAATGAAAAGCTCTTACTAAATTAGGTTTCTTAGACGTTTATACTATGTAAATACAATGTACAAATGCAAGTATTTGAGAGGAAATAAATCTGCTTATTTGGGTGTGATCAATAAATACCAAAGCACCAAGATGTTTTTTTTGTTGAGCATATGAGCACCCCCAGAGAGCTCAAAATGATGCCAAACTGTATTTGGATAGATTGAATACTAATAGTGATAAAACAAGTGAAATATATAGTTGTATAGTATATAAAATTAGAATAGCACAGCGCAACATCTGGTTCCAAAAATGAGTTTGGCTTGACCCTGCCTGACCTCTCCGTACTCAAACCTCTATAGCCTTGGCCTGCTTCACTCAATCGAAGTAAAATTTGTTTGTGGAGACTTCAAACATGTTGTGCTATGATTGTGGCATATTTTTAGACTTGGATCTGCATTATTTCAAATAAATAATATCAATAAAAGTGCTTTTTTTTCAGGCGAACCTGAAAATTTGTTCCATCTTCATTTAGTATTAACCAGTAACGTATAATAATGGTAACACTTGTGAGATTTGCTCAGATGTGTAAATATCAGTATATAACATCAAAATTATTCAAATAGACCTTGTAGTTGGAGATCTACACTCTTTAGTATGGGTATGCAATTTTTGAGCAGAGGCCTAAAAATAGGTCTAAGTTTTAAGAGAGAACTTTTGGGGGTTTTTTTGCATTAGATATCTAACGTCCTTCAATCACCTCTGTTTGGTGACATTTTTATTCCCGGCTCCTCAATTTAATAATTAGAGTATTTTTCCCCTAACAAATATTAATATATTTTTTAATTACAGGTTTTAGAAATTAAGAGATTGTTGTTGAGTAAGTCTCAACAAATAGTCACATTTGTTGAACCAAATTGAACTAAAGGCACAAATGAACCAATTTGTCCCTATTTGGAGATCCCTGACAGAAACAAGGAAGAAAGCATCCCCTTACAGACTGAATGGAGAGCGGGGTAATTAAATAGAAATGGTATAGTGACAAATGAAAGTAGGTCATTGTCAGGTCTGACCTAGGTCAGAGCAGGTCTATCCTTGTCCAGTCTAGGTGTTCCTCTATAAAGGGTCGATGAAGCAGGACCACCCCGTGAGTGTGCACGTGTGTTCATATGTCACCTGACACTTTTTCCTGTAACTGACACTGCAAAAGTTGGTTTCAGTCTACGGTATGCTGCTGTAGTTAGGTGGTGGAAAAATGACATCAGTTGACATCACATTTATCAATACAGCATTATTAGAGCTGTGTTGAGAACTCATTTGATCATTTATCCTCTAATAAGTCCTAACTCAGATAGTTATGTGTCCTAAAGAAAGTGTAAAGAAAAGTACAAGAAAAAGCTGGTGAATTCAGCTGAATGTTTGGGATGTTTTTTACCTGTGGTAATACATTAATAATCACGCTCATAGTCCCCAAATCATGTTCCTATATTGTTATTTTGATAAAGCATGTTAAAGAAAAAGCTTCTCACAGCCTGAATACTGAACACAGAACTATTAATAGTTTTATTTACTAAACACAACCTCAGTCAACAGTGAAGATTATATATAATATATTTGATTATTGTGTTTTATAGAGATGTGTATCTCTCTTCTGTGTAGATAGTTTTATTTATTTACTATTCATTCGTAAAAGAGCCGCCCTGTTCTCTAGTTTAATCACATCTGACCTTAGATATGCTCTCCTTCCGACAAACATCACACACTCACAAGTATCATGTTTGTGTTTTGAATAATCACTGCTTTCTGTCCTGTGACTCCACCATTAATGAAAACACAACAAACATTTTGTTGATTAAAATGCTGTCTGTGCAGCTTTAGGATGTGGGACAGAGTTCACAGCCATCTCTGTAGATTTTATTTAACTTTCACCAAACCAGATAGCAACGTAAGCTTCATTCATTCCCCACCTGTCTAGTGTTGCAGTAAAACATCCCTCCATTCATTTTCTATAAATCAAATAAACTATGTAGGGTTTGTTTTGTTAAATTACAGAACAAAGCCTCCTCACCTCTTAAAGATTCAACAGCCCTTTCATGTTTTCTCCTTTCAGGAAACAGGATATATGTACACTTCTCTGTATTTCTGTACAATCCTGAATAATTTAGTTAATCTAAATGCCATGTAACTAAAGCACAGATTTGATCTATAGCATTCCACAGAATGTGTGTTTATAAAAGGTTTTTTTTTTTTTGTTATGAATATTAAGTTACTGCTGTTTTGATGAACCAGGGTGAGTAAGTGCTTTTACCATCATTCTTTCAACAAATGATTCACCCTCAGCAAAGATATTGCAAGCGCATATATATCGATATATCTATCTATCTATATATCAGAACAACATGGCTGAGTTCTTAATGTTTAATGCACTGAGGTAAATGCACAAAAAGGCAACATTAACTGTAATTGAAATTAGAACTTAGACCAGATTTGAACCACTTCATCCATTTATTAGTCAGTTCAATTAACAAAAACGTAAATACTCTTGTATTAAAAACACTTCAAAATTACATAAAGTGAGACTGAAAAAGTCAGAATGACACAGCAGGGACTCCGTGCTTACATGCAGTATATACATTAGCTTTGTGTTACTTTCTATCACCATTCTGTCTCGTATGGACAGCGCAACCCCAGATAGGCAGATTAGACATTTTCTACTGTGTTTACAGCAGGATGAGGTCAATTCACTTTTAATATAATCAAATGACAATTAGCAAACTACATATGCCATAAGCAGGCCAAGATCATAGTTGTTGAGCTAGTTAAAAGATCATTTGCCCTCATCCCTACTGTAATGTGCACCAGGTTTGGAAAGAGTATTAAAACATAAAGACAAGAATAAGGTAAATTCCCTTCAGTCTTCCATTGTGGAGGTCGAGTTGAGTGCACTGTGCTACGAGATGTAGGGAGGCAGGGGAATTTGGGCAGTAGTTTAGTTGGACCTCTCAGGCGTTGCTCTTTTACTCTATTGTAAAAGTCTCCATGGGGCCGTTGCTCAGAGCCTTGATGTCATTCAGGAGACCAGTCGGGGTCAAAATGTGAGAAGACCCTGGAAACAAAGTATAATGAGCCGATACATCCCAGATTAAGAGTAGAAGCACTTTCACAATTCTGACTGGCTCCAGTAGGTGGCGTAAAACAGCTTCAAACGGACAGTTTCCAGGTCAAGACACCAATTAAATTAAAGTTCAAAATGCAAAAACCTTGCAATAATGCTCACCTATGATGACCTCGCAGGATTTAACGGCCTGGGTCACCTCGTAGGCACAGCGCATCTCAGAGTGGCAGATTCCCCCGAGAACAAAAACAATGAGGCGTGCACCGCTCCGGCGTTCGTCCTGAGCACTGGCTTTGTGCTTCTGACGGGCACTGTGGAGCAGGAGGACGACAAAGGAAATTCACTGAGACAAAACCTAAAACTAAAAAAAGTGGGACCTGCATGTCCAAATTGTGGAAAGAGAGCAAAATCAACACCCTGGCAAAAAAGACAGAGGAAGCGAAGGATGGATAGTCAGAACTAACTAACTTCCAAAAAACAGACACTTCAAAATCCTTTAAAATAAAAATAAAACGACACATTAACAGCTGGAAGTGACAGCACACATCACTAGGGGGTGCTAGTTTATCACTCTTACCGTATGCATCGGTCTGTAAAAGCAAATGGGGTCTGTGTGTAAAACATATATTTTTGAGGGACACATTATTTTTGAGTAAGTGACAGCGTGTTTGCAAATGTATTTGTTATAATTGTATTTTATATTGTTTTACCGGTGTCTGTGTGTGTGTGTGTGTGTTTTGTGTGCGTGGGTTGGTGATGAAGCCACGCCCCCCCTGTAGTTCCACTGCACACCCCAGTTTGGGAACCACTGATGGAGTGTGATAGAAACAACGACTGTACCTGACAGCTCCGGAGCCATTCCAGGCAGCAGGACACTCGGACTGGTGCGGCCACTCTTTGGTGTCCAGTTTGTTCTCCACAGCATCCTGAAAGCAACACATCGTTAATGTCTCGGTCCCAGAGAGACCAGAGGTTTTTGGGGCAAACCAGTGTCATAGATTTGAGTATTGACTCTTGCTTGTACTGATGCGAGATAACCTGCTTGCATTCATATGCACATGAACGTAGAAGTTCAGCAAATAGTTCCAACAAGCCAACACTTAATACCAGATTTCAAATACGGGTTGTGATTTCACTTGGTGGTGCTATCCCTTCTCTTCACAATTGTAACACAAGTTTGACTTTTCACTTAAATCACATTTTTGTTGTGTATCAAGACTTAAAAGGCTCAACAATTAGAGCATGCCACTAAAAAAAAAATTAATCCAGATTGTTTTTTATGTGCAGAACGGTTTCCTTCAGATTGTTTGCTGCCACATGGTCGGTTTCCTGATGTAAGAGGAAACTGTTCACCACAGTTTACAGTAAGCAGTTGCTCTGGTGGTGAAGACTGCTCAGAAAAGACTTTTCAGGTAATAACAGGAAAGGGAAGTGAAAATGAGAAGACACAAAAGAACGTATTATATTACAGATCAGAGCACCACATGTTCAATCTAATTTAACCTGTTTTCAAAAACATAAATACAGTACATACAAATCCCATCAGCAACAAATTGCTACGATGAGCCCTCTCAACGGATGGAACACAGATTTAAGATTTACAATCTAAACTCTCTTTGTGGCCAGTTTCCTCAACAGGCATCACTTGATACCAAAATGTGGAATCTCAGTTCTGTGAAATTACAGAACTGAGATTCAGTAATCAGGTTAAACGTGATCATGTTATGACCAAAGGGGACTGAAGTAACTCTGCCTCTCAGTTCCTCATGTATTTCAGAGAATTGGGACTCGTCAGCAGAATCAGAGCTGATATATTATCCATGGCTGACAGCTCATATAACTTATAAGCCTCAAAACAAACAAAAGAAAACTTAATCTCAAAAAGAGTACAGAGTGTCCCTCTCTACATTACAAGGTAGCAGGTGACCTAGATCAAGCTACCTGTTGACATTTGTAAGACACAACGTAAATGGAACATCTTTTCTTATCTGCTCCGATCGATACACACTTTTAAATCACTACCATCTAGCTGCCCCAAAATTATTTCCTCTGGAGTTGTGCCACTGTATTCATTATGGTATCCACAGCTGCTCAAATCCCTGTTAAACAAAGCATGTCCAAAGAACCGTCTGTAAATTGGATAACGGTGTAAATGCTATGTGATCATTCAGTTAGTAATATACAATGAACAATACCTCCATCACATCTTTAATGACAGGAGTCCATCTGGAAAGGTTGTAAGTCTGATCCTGGGAACGATCGCGTCTGGTCGATTTGCGAGGGAAGAAGCTGGGCTAGAAACAGAAGTATAAGAAACAATCAGTTGAGACTGAATAGATGAACAAGACCAGAAGAAGAAGAAGAAGAAACCCAGAGTGATCCACACACCAGCTACAACTTCTAACCCATGGGTACTCATCTCCAATCCATCATAATCAAAAGCTTCAATCACTTCATCTTCTGCACATACCGTTGTGATGATAGGGACCCCCAGCTCCTTCCAGTTCAGGATGAACTCTCGCTCCGCCTCAATCTTTACATGCTGGATGAGCTTGCTTAAGTTCTCGTCGGTTGTTCCTGTTGACAAACACCAAACAAACAAACCAGCATGAAAATCTGGTAAGGTTTATAAAGGCTCCATGATCTTGGTCAAAAAATTATCAATACGGTCTTGAACAAGAAAGAAGATGTCAGGTTTTAGGTCCATTTTATGGTCATTTTGGAGGGAATAATCTGTAACTCTTAACTGGAAAATATCCCTGGCATCACAACAGTATTTCTGTAATGTGTACTTTTAAAAATGAAATCAACCAATGCTTGACCTCTGTAATTTAAGGATTAGTAGTCACATGAGACTGTATGTCAGTTTATATCCTGATTTACGGATTCTCATTGCCTTATACTGATCTTTAAATGTCTGCTGCAGGAGAGGTTTGCCGTACCGCTGAGGCTGAAGATGTAGAGCAGCACAGCTCTGATCTTGTCGTAGGTGCTGTACGGGTGGAGCAGCACCGGCAGCAGAGTCCTCATGGGGTCTTTCACCTTCACCCCCTCTACGTCTGACCCCACCGCAAGGTCCTACGCAGAGATAAACCACCTTTGTGAATGTTTGCACTTTTTTAAATATGTATTCATAAAGCTCCATTTCACAACCAACACAATTCAACCGAGTCTCTCCTGAGGAGGAGGTCAGAGGTCAGACTCGGCTACAGAGAAATACTCTGGAGCTCTTTGGGTGTCGCGAGGCGGAACCTTGAAGCGGTTAATCCCTCCTCACTAAACGCCCACGAACACCCGCTGACTTGTTAAATCAAGGTTGAGTGGTAAAAAAAACACATTCCGAACGGATGACGGCGCACAGACAGACCTGTTCAGCTTTGCAGAGTTTCTCCACGTTGTTTGAGAAAAGTTGCATGCAGTCCTCAGCCAGCTGCAGATGAATGGTTTTCTAGAATTCAGACAGAGAGAGAAAAATTAAAAACAATATGAACAGAACAATGTACAAGTATTGTTACTACTGGAGTTCCAAAAGGGATTCCCTTTAATGGAAGACAAAGATACTTTTAGAGGCCAGAAATGATGACGTTCTGTTCAGTTTCTGTGCTAAAAACATGATGAAGTCAACACTACATAACAGCAGGCTTCGGCGGCACCACACCCAACCCCAGCACAATGATCACATACAGCTGTATAATTAAAGATAACACAAAGGGCAATTGAGATAATACTGGTGCCACATACCTCAGTCACCTGTTTACGGAATGTGGGCATCTTCTTCATCATCTGGGCCAAACTGCTAATTGTGATCTGAAATAAAAATGAAATGTTTGCTGAAAATACACATTTTCAGTGTGAAGATTCCCTGAAGCACACGAGAAGACACCACAGCACTGTACCTTCCCATCCGGCTGTTTCTTGTTAGCGGACATTTCCTTTACCAACTTGCGGATTTGTCTGTTGTGGGAAGAAAAGAAAAAAATGGAGTTAGGGGAGGGTTGAGGTGTGGAAGACAGAAACGGGACATTTCCATCCTTCAGATCTTAACTTACTCTGAGACCTCGGCGATGTGCTTGTGCCTCAGCTTAACCCAGAGCATGTCGTCCTCACTCAGCAAGGCCTGCTTCTCTGAGCCATCTTTACCCTTGTAACTGGAAACCAAACCAAGCAGATAACCAGTATTAGCTATATTGTCTAGATAGAATAGCTCGTCTTGTATACGGGCATAGCAATATGGTGCCGTAAGCAGAGTGTGCATGCGTGAATACGGTGGGATTCAGTGGGGAAAAGCTTGTATTACGTGTAGGTGCCGCTCTGGATGTCGATGAGGTCGTAAGCCATGGCCTGGTAGGTCAGCTCGTGCAGGATGGGGCTGACGGGGTCAAAGCCCCGCTCCACTATCAGCAGCTGGGCCTGAGTCTTTCCCTTGTGATAAGAGGAGAGGGGGGGGGGGGGATACACAGACAAAGTTAAAATATAACAACGCATTATTTAAAATGTAATCTTTTTTTCCCCTTTTACGAGCCGTCAGAGGAAAAGAATAGCACATGTCCAGGTCCTTGTTTATTCTGTCAACACTCTTTGTTCAGAAGGCGTCTCACCTTTTTCGTGCCGCTGTCATCCAGCGCGTAGTGTTTGGCCAGTTTGTCGTCCACCAGCTCTGCAAGGGTCTTGGCGTTCTCCATGTTGCCGTCTCTAGTTATGATATAAAAAACATTTTCATGAGTTATCACAGTCAAGTTAATACACACCATGGTGGAACTAATACCGCTATTTGATAGAGGATATTGTACTGATTTGGACCATTTGTAGAAAAAGTGTTTTGTTGCCCATTTTTGTTTTTGTATTTATTTTTTTGAGTTCGATATGGTCCGACAGTTGCTTTTGTAGACTTGTGTGTGTACAGGTATATTGTGTGAAAAATAAAAGCCACACAGTGCTTTTGTTTTTATTTACATTTAAATAAATTTGATGTTGTTCTAAGCTACGTTAAAGTGAGGCGACGTTTGTAACTGTATCTAAGCTTCATTTATTTTCTGCCACAGCAAAGCAACATATTATACGGTCTCGGTTCCATCTCTTCTTGTAAAAAGGTCCCACTCTGCTTGGGGGCTGAGGTGTGCCGAATGCCGAGACACCAAATCTTCTCTGGCTCACTTCTTGTATCGAACCCCCGGGTACTCGTCCAACGTGGCACAGAGCGTGACGAGCTGGTCTGCGAGTGTCTCCAGTGTCTTCTTTTTGTCCTGGCTGTTGGGACTGTAGATGCTTTGGAAAGCCCCCGGATTGTCACATGTGAACACCTGAAAAGCATTCAACACACCAAGAGTAAAGTCTCCAATCTCTTATCTGACTCCAGAACCAAAAGGCACAGAATTAATGAATATTAATAATAACTACAGAGAACATCCAGTTACAGTTCCAAAGCCACTGGGATAACACAAAGTTTGTAAAGTCATTACATCATCATGGCTTAAAGCAGCCAACACCCATTAGAGTCACTCAAAACACTGGAAATCAGCAGCAACAGGACACTGAACTCAAACACCATCTGAAAAGAGGAAATGGAGCGTTACAAAAGAACCTAAAAAGAGCACAATCTGCAACCACTCACTTGAGCCTCTAGTGGCAGGAAGGACATGTTTATCTCCTTACAGACTCGGATGTACGCCGCACAGGACCGCTTCATGTTGTTAAAAAGCTCATCGGGACAGTCTGTGGGACCAAAAAGCGTTAGTCTCTATCTTATCTGTTTGACAACAACAAAAGTTACTGAAACAACATTTTGATCATGTTGGATGATATTTTTTTTTGTCAGTATTTTTGCTTTAGTAGTGATTCAAGTTACTTACAGTCAGTGAAATAAACATACGCTGCTTTGTATTTAGGTTTGGGCTTGAAGTCAGCGATAAAGGCATCCACACACTAGAAAAGGAAATGTAAGGTATCACAACATCGTTTAGCAGAATACATGCGACATCATTACAGGGATGTGAGGGCACACCTTAGCCGTTGGTGACATGAAGTAGATGGCCTTCATTTCTGGAACAGGCTCTCTGCTTTTGAACAGGTCCTCCACGACTAAAGAAACAAAATATAGAAATATATACATACTGCAGTTTGTTGTGTATTTTACTAGTATTATATCTACATGATCTGTTAAAGAAACCTACTTGTTATTTTTTCTGGTATCAGATCGGACATTTTGCAGCATGATGAGACGAGCTTGGTGGTGAAGGGGTCCAGAATCAATATCTGTGACGATAAATAGGTAGCGGTAAGTCAAGTTATGTATCGCTCTGTAACAGGCTGCTAGAAATGACAACCGTGTTGTGAGTCACAGTGCACGAGTGCTATCAATCACATAAAGGTTTCATCTGTAATGTGGAGTTGTCCTACCTTCCATACTTCCGATTTCCTGCAATCTGTAATAATTGTATCTTTTATTCCTGTAAGAGACACAGGAGATGACTCAATAACAGGAAACCTCATGAAGAACACGAGTGGAACCAGAACACGCTGTTCATGACTGTTAGAGCTGCTGCTGACACACTTGTGTCGAGAGGTTATAATTTAAACAATCCATTAGTTGCATCAGTCATTGATCAAGTAAACAGCCTAGTGGGAAAAAACGTGTGCTGTTGTGTTTCATGTCAATTTAGGGTCTTTACATGTGTGATGAGCGTTTGTCATCATTGTATGCATTTTACTATAAATAACGAATGGAAAGAAGAAGACTAATCACTTCACAGAAGTGTTAGTGTAACGTTATGGTTTCACATTTTAGAAAACTGATGTCAGTTCACGACAAACTTCATTTAATTGTTGTGTTTTTTTCCCTTCTGCTGTGAGGCGGGGCTCCAGGCAGAGAGTGCGGCTAACGTGACTTGCTCTCAAGAGAAGCGAGACAAAGAGTCCATTTAAGTTATGACAAACAACTTCACACGATGCACAAACCAGAACACGGTGTGTTGCTATCAGCCTCACATTATCGACTCTTAACCCAATTCAAGTGTGTACACTTCCGTTGCGTTGAACAGCAGCACGTTTGACTGTCATTCCAAGATGCAAAGTCACAAACAAATGAAGAACCTGTTAATAAAACACCACGCATTCAGTAGCGCGTTGCGTTGTGGAAGTGTTGCCCTGTTTCACATGTACATTAAACACTCTCCCGTCGGGGCGAACTTACTTTTCCACACGATTCGTTTCAGCCCGTGATCTGGACCCGTTGCCATCTTGTTTTCTTTATTTATTTTCCTCCTCGGCGCCTCTTCCTGTCCCGTGTCTTCATGCTCTGACGTCACCTGCGTCATCAAGTGTGCGACGGAATGCTGCTGTAGTTTTTAACACATGGGAAAAGTTTGCCCTTCTGTTTCAAAACAAAACAGGTGACATTTTCCTAAACGTATATGCTAGTAGGTTCGTTTCCTAAACCTGAAGACATTTAAGGCAAACTTGTCCTGTGTGCTAGTTTTTATTATTATGCAGAACGACTCTTTCTGGATTAACATTCGTGATGCATTTATGTGTACATCCCTTCAATGTTGTTAGGTGGAGCTAATTGTATTTACTTTATACACTGCTGGGTAGCTAAATCTATACATCATAATTAGTTGATTTGTTTTTTGTATTAATAATCAAAATCTGCAATACAACTAATGTTGTCTCATTGTTCTGGCATTTTTGTTAAAAATTCAGATGGGAGCCAGAGAAAAGAAAGAGTCACCAGTGAGAGAGAAAACTGATAAAAAAGGAATTAAAAATTAAAATACTTGTGGTAAATCTACAGATAATGTGATACACAATGAAAATCTTTACTTTTTAGGTCAAAATTAGGAGTTGAAGCTACATAAAACATACTAAGTAAGTCGTAAATATGACATAAAAAGTCAAAGTCTCTGACATTAAAAGTCAGAATTATGAGATACTAAGTCATAATCTGTGAATAGTAAGGGGAAGTAGAAATTATAAGTGGACATCATAATATTGATATATTAATTAAAACACGAGTTAATGAGTCAAACTTCTGACTTACTTTAATTATTCAGTCAAAATTGTGAGGTTTTGAGTTTGACTTATATCTCATAATGTTGACTCAGTATCTCATAACAAAATAGTAAGTTCAGTCAACATTTTTGACTTAGTAATGTTGAGTATCTTTCTTCCAGGCATTTCATCATTGTTGTTTTTTGTTGTTGTTGTTTCCTGGCAGAAACTTTTAGAAAATGTATTATTCATTTCAGACCTCAGTGTGAAAGGGAAGGATTTGCGGCCTTAAGCAAGGGGAATCCAATCCTTTGTCAGACCCCACCATGCTGCATGTTGTGGTGTCTTGACTACATTGTTGAATATAGAATATCTTGCCTATAGCAACAAAGGTGTTTCCTTCTCAAGCTACCTAACCTGCAGCTGTCCCAAGGTGCATCTCTCTGCTTCACAGTGACTGGATATTTGCCTCCAGTGACAGGGACCAGGTGGAGGTATTTCAACCGGCACAGACACCAGATATGTTTAAGAAACGGTAAAACAGTTAGGAGTGAAGCATTTTTAGACATCTAACAGAAGTTGTAAAGTGTGTTTAAAAGAGTGAGAGAAGTGTTTTAGGAGACAGACGTGAAGAATGGGCGCTATGAAGTGGCTGGTGATTTTTGTCTTGCTGGGCATATGCTCAAAGGTACAGTAATGGAATAAAACCTGTTATAATAATATAAATCTTATTTCAAATTTAGGCTCAAACATTTTGTTGTGAGAGCACAATGCAATGCAACATTACAAGTGATTAACTTCTTGGTAGTAACTTGATTTTTATGTACATAAAAGTATTGTTAACAATATTTTCTCATCTATATTTGCAGGCTGCAGCCCAAGGTACTGTATGTTCTCTTTTACCATAACTCCACTGTAGATGTTTATATCATTGTCATATAAGATAATAACAAGGCAAAACCTTGATTATATTATACATCTTATGTGCAAAAAAAAATTCATGTCTCCGGATGTAAACAAATGCTATATTGATCTGCACTTCTGTCATCTCTCTCATCAGATATCCAAGTATCCGTGTTCTCAGTAACAACCAAGTCCGCGATTCTCAGATGGACCAGGGCCACCGGAGCCAGCTCATACAAGATCACCGCCACCTCCAAAAGCTCACCAAGCAACTCTGTTGTTTTTGCCACGTTTGGTCCAAACACAGTGCTTGGCTCTGTCAACTCTCTGTCCCCAAACATCGTGTATACATTCACAGTTGAAGCCCTGGATAATTCCCAAGTAACACTGAGCTCTGCAGCTGTTGAGTCATCCACAGGTGAGGTACACTTGCGTCAATAACTGTCATGTTTAAGCACTAAATAACCCAATGTTTTATTCACTGCTTCATTGTTGTGTATATTTCCATTTAAAAAAAAAATGTTTTACGACATTTTCTGGTGTTGCATGTGTTTGACTTGGTCTAAAAATGCTTTTAAGAATTTGCCCAGTACAGTTTTTACTGCCATATTCAGGCACACGACTTATCTAAAAACAGTCTGAAAGATGAATGGTGGATCCAGTATAATTACTAACATTACAATGTAAATTTAAACACCTAAATGTTACTTTGATGATGGGCAGCTGACGACTTACACTGAGCGAAGGACCACAGAAGAGTCACTATTAGTTCAGTGACAATATAAGAGGAAATCTTTTTATTGATACAGTCAGTGTGTGGATTTCTCAAACATACACAGGCAGATGAGACAAAATGAAATGTTTCCCGTTACTAATCCCTGAAATTTGTAGGTAGAGGGTAGATTCCACAGCCAATTATTGCTGAGAAGGTGGAGGACATCCCTCGCATCTCGCTATCAACATTTTGATGTGAGCTGACTGTAACTATTTCAGCCCCTGGGATGATGGATCCCATCCAGACAGTGAAGACGATCGATAGCGAGACCTTGATGGCGTCGTTCAACGCGGAGACCGGGGCGACTCATTACATCATACGAATCGAGGACGCCAATGGCTTCTTCAGAGAAGACACAGTGTCCTCGACCACCGCTGAGATTAAGTCCCTCACACCATACACTGAGTACATGCTCAGCATCATGGCTGCCAACGGTGGAGGCCGGAGCCAGCCGTCTCTTCCTCAGACTGCAAAGACAGGTATACTTTACATATTTGTGTGCAGATTTACTACATCCAAATCTGGGAAACAAAACTTCATAAATACTGAATATACAGTGGCAAAATAACTAAGGGCTGGTTTATGTGTAGAAATGAGTCGTACGTTCATGGAGAAACAATGTGTTCTGTTCTCATCGATCCCCATGCCCTTCAGAAGTCACTTGATCTGCCTCATTGTCCTATAGCAAAGCCACTATACAGTAGGCCTATTGTGAGTCAACTTCACTGTTTGTATTTGTTACTCAATAAATGCATCAGCGCCCCTCAGGGCTTGGAGGTAACTATACCTGACCCCTTTATGCCAAACACAATGGGTTGACCTCTTCCTGAGAGAGAGGGGGGGATCTGATTCACATGAGCCAAACTAACATGCTACAAGCAGTTGCACCATTTTTTGTCCACTGTTTGTCATCATGCATCTCTGATTTCATTGTGTTGTACTTCTGTAGGCTACTTAATATGTCAGACTCAAATTGGCTTGAACATACATGAATGTATTCATATATCCTTACATGTTAAAAATCTAAAAACATGCCTTTTTCAGTGTTTGAAACAAAAAACATGAAGGAATGGCCTGGAATGAATAGTTGATCACATCTAAATTTAAGTTCTCACATCTGAGGCGAAAAAGACTTAAAAGTCCATGAAAAGTTGGCTTCAAAATCAGAAATACTATTGTACTAATGCCTAAATAAAACATCTCATGAATGTCAAACTTTTTTTTCCTCCACAGTTTTGCATCCTCCTCAGCTCTCTGCCTCGTCTCCCAGCAATGACAGCATCATCGTATCCTGGGCTCCTGTTGCTCACGCTGTCCAGTACACTCTGTCCATATACGAGTTTGGCTCAAACACCAGCATGAAGCACAACACCTCCAACACCAATCTGACCATCTCGGGCCTGGATGCTGGCTCCCTCTACGTCATTGAGAGTTTCGCCTGGGACCTGGAGGGCCGAGAGGGAGATGGTCTGTCCATCAACCAGACAACAAGTAAGGAGGCACTGAGTCACTTCTCTGTGTGTTTTTGTGCTCTGTGCACTGCTGTGTTCATCAGATCACATTCATCAGGAGAGAGACACACGCTAGCTCCTGTGGTCCATGTGCCTTTATAATAAATAATACGTGAGAAATATTATACATGAAAAGAAAAAACAAATAAATAATTAGGAATACAATTTTACACAAACTCTCACTTGCATGATATTTGGTTTTCAATAGTGTGAAGTGTGTCGGGTGGCCTGTTTAGCTCTAGTTGTGCCTGCACAGTTTGACAAACACACGTCCTCACCTTCAAATCGTAACTTATCCCATAGAACAGCAGAAACACTTAACCTCTGCACAGTCCCAAATCTAGAAGTCATGAATACAAAGAGACCAAAACTATTACCTCACTGAATATTATGAAGCATCATTGTGAAACCGTTTGCAAAGGAGCATTCATTTAGTTCCCCTTTTTCAGCCTCAGAATCGGATTTGGAAATGTCCACCTTTGGCGCCCCCTAGTGGTAGAAGAGGTATCAAATATATAAGTCTGTACCTGCTCGTGTTTTTGTCTGGTCTAATGTTTTAACAGGACCTCCATCACCATATCGGGCCAATGTCTCTATGGTGATGAGTAACGGTGTGTCCGGACTCTCTGTGTCCTGGGAACTCGATCAGGAGGTCTATGGATCCATCCAATACCACGTGATGAGTGACCAGAACCTCACCTGTAACTCCACATCCAGCTCCTGCACCCTGCAGCCAGTGGGCTGTGGAGAGGTACACACCATCCAGGTCACCGCCTCCAACGAGGCAGGGCCCAGCCAGCCATCCAGCCCCGTGGAGTTCATCACCTGTGAGTAGTAGAGATTTGTTTTGGATCAGATCCACACAGTTATAATGGCTTATGTTGTTTGTTTTATTTTGTTTTATATAGATTTTGACTTTGATTTGATTTTAACACTACACAGACATGAGTAGGATCAAAAGGGGTTGTAATAGGCCATTATGGACAATCAATGAGCTTGCCTTATTTATGGCAATTTTTTTCAAGGATTCAATATATTCACGCATTATGATGATGTACTTTGATTTGTATTTCATTTACTAGATTGGTCAGGAAAATCCCCATCTGTTTTTTTTCTGCATGAATTACCAGGTATTTTATCATGTATAAAATTGTATCGTCATCTACAATTTTAGTCATATCGCCCACGCCTAATACAAAAGCTCAGGGTTTGAGAGTTTTTAGAGTATGCCACAGTTAATCCACACCACAAGGGTTAAAATGACCCTGTGTGGTTTTTGACCACTAGTATTACGATGAATTCAGGTTTTGACCAGTCTGTTAACTGGTTTGGTTAAGTGCAACTCCAGATGTTTAGGTTGTGTTATAACTGGTAAATAAAAGGTAATAAATCGGACAAATTGAATTAACCACCTACACTACAGCCATTATACCACTCCGATACCACTGTCAGTATTTGGGTGTGACCTGCTGTCCTGTTCTGTCAGTCCCTTGCCCCCCAGAGTCTTTGGCTCTCGTGGAGTCAACTGAAGGAAACTGCACGCTGACATGGGACACCGTGCCTCATGCCGACAGCTACCAGGCCTTCATCAAGAGAGGTGACGGCCCCGCGGAGACCTGCAACACCACCAGCAACAACTGCACCTACCACTGCAAGTGTGGCAACACATACCTGATGTCTGTGTTTGCGTTCAACCAGGCTGGCAGCAGTCCCCAAGGACCGATTCTCAACTACACCACCTGTAAGTAACATCTCACCTCAGGTTTTAAGATTTAGAGTCCTTATGAGACTGATTTTCTTTCTGGTTATGATCATGATACGTGTATGTCTCTTAGCTTGTGTATCACCTGTGTCTTTCAGTGCCCTGTTGTCCAGAGGGTGTGTCAGTCTCCATGGTGAGCACTGACACTCTGGAGGTCACGTGGACGGCCTCGCAGGGGGCACAGCTGTACGAGACTCGAGCTGCAGACGGTTCAGAGGTTATCCTGTGTAACGACACGGCACCGGTGTGCGCCCTCTCTGACCTCAGCTGCGACAGTCCCTACAGCGTGCTGGTGACACCCTGCAATGAAATCAGTGGATGCAACCGTGCATGCAAAGCTCACACCAAAAACACAGGTATAAAACTTCTGTTCTTATACCATATATGTATCCAGAACATATCCAGACTGAGCCTGACTAAACAATTAACAAATATTTTCGACCAGTATGAGGCAAAAAGCTGCGTTTTTTATATTTTATGTATAAAAAAACCCCACTTGATAAAGTGACCAGTGAGTGTATGATGTGTACAGTTTGTTTTAATGGCTATATGATTGATATATTCTCAGCTAAATAATTGAGCTGCACAGCCATAGTCATTATTTTCACCTCTGGTGGTCAAACATTTAGGTATAGGACCCTCAAAGGTCTGAACAAACTCAATAAAGTAAACTTTAATTCCTTCTTTCTTTCGTCCCTATCAGCTCCCTGCATGCCGATGAATCTGTTGCTGAATCTGAAAAACTCCTCTTGCGTCAGCGTCAGCTGGACAGCAAACAACAGTGCTGCTACTTACACTGTGAGCGCGTCGGGAGATGACGCCGAACACACCTGCACCACCAGCGGAAACAGCTGCAACATCACGGACCTTCCCTGCGGCTCCATGTACGAGGTCAGCGTCACAGCAACCAGCCCCTTCGGACAGAGTTTACCCAGCTACTCGGACTCTCTGGAAACAGGTGAGCGTGGTCAAAGGGTTGGTCCATATAATAGAAGAAATACAGACAGGCATCAGGTTGAAGGAAAAATCGATAAAGGGTGACTCTGGCTAAGTGGAGAGCAGGGTCGTCCTTCAATCCATCGGCGGTTCGATCTCCGGCTCCGCTATGCAGGTGTCACTTAGCCCCTGCCATCAGTGTGTGAATGGGTGAATGATGACAAGTAGTGTGAAAGTGCTTTGAGTGGTCGGAAAGACTAGAAAAGGGTTATACAAGTACAGTCCATTTACCATTTAAAGAAGCATGTTTGTGGCGTGTGTTACCACGAGCCTCCAGAACAGCTTCCGTGCTCCTTGGTAGAGGTTTTATAAGTCTGTGTTGCTCCACTACTGACAGCGGTGTCAGAGTTATACACTTATAAAAGCATCGTTGGTCCAAAATCTAGGCAAAAGGATTATTCAGATCTTTTACTTAGGTAAAAGTAGCACAAAGATGTAAAAAACCTCACAATTTTACACTTTTACAATGCAAGTCCTGCATTAAAAACCTTACTTAAGTAAAAAATTGTATCATCAGCTAAATGAACATAACGACCGATTTCAAGAAGGATGACTATACTGAATAAACTATAGCCTAATTTTATCAGGTTTAATTTTTTAATTTTTGGCACATTAATAATGTGTTAATTGCAACATCTTGATTTCAATGAATTAAAAGGGTGCTTCAGTGATTTAGTATTGCACTTCCACAAAGTTGGGGGACTTGTGAGGGACAGAATTGGAAAAAGAAGCAGAGCCATGGATTTCCTCACTTTTAGCCCTAACAATGAGTTAAGCTCCAAAAGCACTCATATATGCTATAAATCTAGATATATTTAATTATTAGATTGATTCAGGTAAAGGGTTAAAATATTATTTTATTCATATATTCTAACAACTTCCGGCCTAGGCCCTGTATACACCGAATACAGATTTGAATACAGATATTTCTGTGACATAAACAGATAACAGATGGTAACTTTGTGCTCCACCCCCCAACATCCTCATATTTCATCTTCTTTCACAGAACCCTGTTGCCCGGTCAATCTAACAGTCGACCAGGTAACGCAGGCAGTGACCAACGTCTCGTGGTCTCACGCCAAAGGAGCTCATTCGTTCATCACTTCTCTGACATCAACACGTGGTCACGCCCGCTGCCACACCCAGGACTCCCACTGCCTCATGGGATGCATCACCTGCGGGACCAACTACACCGTCACCATGGAGGCGTTCAGCCACAGCGGGCGCAGTTCCAACTGCTCCTATAAGGGCTTCTCGTCCAGTGAGATGTTCTCTACCATTCATTTTACAACATTTATGTAGTTTTTATTCACAACTATCCATTATACTTTTTATAATATGGAAGCGATCATGAACATATAAGTAACATAAGAGCTTCTTATACAGGCGCCAACCTCCGGGTCTGAAAAAAGAGGACTAGCTTGCTTTTTCTCTGCTGGCCATCAGAGGGCGTCTCCTCTAGTTGCGAAAGAAGTCTGATTGTATAGAAGTCCATGAGAACATTACTTTACTTCTCTCTTGATTTATTACCTCAGTAAACACGGTAAACAAGGTCTCAATCACTAATTTCACATCTTCTCCAATACAGCATGATGTTCATTTGGTAAATTATGGTCCCATTTAGAGTGAAATATACAATAAAGCAGGGTATGCTTTAGAGCGTGGCTAACTTGTGATTGACAGGTCACTATCACAGCTTTAGGTTGCTGCTTACAACTTTAACCCTTTCACATTGTGTTTTCAATTCATGAAAGTTAATTGTAACATTTTGGTTGCCGACAAAAATGTCTTGTTCAGCGTTTGGTTGTACTTATAGCTCCACCCTCTCGTGTCTCTTTTGGTTGCAAAAAAACCAAGATGGCGATGGCCAAAACGTCACACAAATGGATATAATTAGTGATCAGCAGTATCTACCCAAAGTTTGCTAACATTGGCTAACAGCCACTCGCTACTGGTCATAACAGACCAAGTCAGGCTGTAGCAGCAAATATCTTTAGTGTATTAAACTGAGCAATGGAGCCCTTTATTGCTTGTGAATTCAATTTTTTGTTGCAAGCGGGGGAGAATGTTTGAGTTATTCTTTAAAAGGTTACATAATATCTCCTTAAATCAAAATACTGTTAATATTTATATCTCAAAGACGCATGTGTAGAATACATAGACTGTCATGTTACTGTCTTCGAAATGGCCTCTATGTGTCACACATATCCTCTCTCTCTCTCTCTCTCTCTCTCTCTCTCTCTCTCTCTCTGGTAGGTGCCTGCTGTCCGTCAGGCGTCAGGCTCTACAAGATGGCTGGTAACTCTCTACGGGTTTACTGGCGCAGCGCTGGCAGCAGCCACAGCTACATCACAGATATGGTGGGCAGCAGCAACAACTACACCTGCACTGCCTCTTCTGGGGAGAGCAGCTGTGATGTTGGCAACGTCCAGTGTGGGGACGTGTATAATGTAGTGGTGGCTCCGCTCACACCAGAGGGCAGCAAAGTCCTGTTCTGCCCCCAGAGACTGTACTCAGGTATGACATCTCACAGTAATGTTTAAAGGAGATGTCAGATGTTTCTGTTGACACAGATTTCTATAATGCAAATGTACATTGTGCACACACAGTTGGTAGTTTCACCACTATTTCATTAATGTTATATACTTCTATAAAGGAATTGTATCAGCTTTATTTGGGATTGGAACATAGCCCAAACATACATTTAGATGATTAGCAACTACAGGATGAAAAAGGTTGGATAATTACATTTTTACTGAATCTCACCTTTTTTTTTTTTGTCTCTGTTCTCAGTCACTTGCTCAGGGAGCAACATTGGCACAGGTGAGATCTGCATTCATATTTAGCAGGCTATTATTTAAAGTCAAAATCACTGAAACCTAAACAATTTTCATCATTTACTGGTAAAACGTTTAGATACAATATTTTAAATGTATGATTTTTCTAATGCCACTTCAACCTGTTCTTCTGCAGTGATTTACAGAGGGAAGAGAAGTGTGGACTAGCATATGGTAAGTTAATATACCATAATTATGCAGTAATGTATTACGTCTGACCGTAGTGGACGCTGGATTTAGCTGCTTATCATTATAAGATGTCAAATATTAAACTGAATGTGACTGAATCTCTTCTCCACAGATGCACACTTCCATCTTTTTCATCCTCCTCTTCCTCCTGCATCCTCCCTGCACCACTGGATTAAAGCCATGCTCGGAGCTAAATAAAGTGTGAACCAGAAATAAACATACTTGTCCGTTGGCCATGATACATCCTCATGTTATCACATACATGACGAATAAAGAGAAATAAAAGTTTGAGATATTGCACAGCGTTGTAAACCTGCCTTCATGTATCACGGCCAAACAAAACAATCACTGTATCCTCAACGATCACAATCAAGCACTTGAATATGAACAACAATGCATTTTGTGTGTGCTGCTCAAAATATGGATCATGAGACTAAATCATAGCATGATTTGGGAAATACAAAATAGTTTCTCATGATAAGACATTTGATTCACAAACAACTAAAACTAAATGTATATGTTGTATGATAATGATAATTGTCAATTTATTTTATTTTTACCCCGGAGCTATTGCCTTAAAAACTCCAAATAAATGATCTAATTGACAAAAAAAATCAATAAGCAAAACAGTAACAATGCCCCAACTGACATTTTAAACAATTTGCCCCTTAATTAATTCAAGTAGGAAGCCTCCTGATGATGAGCAGACACTGATCTGTGTCACCTTATCATGTGTCACCGTGTTGTATGATCTCTGCAGAGTGCTGTTGCTTGTTCTCAGGATGTATTTAACTGTTTGTGATATGTGTCACTGTGGTTGTGGAAACCTGATGCATATGTCAGTTAATAAATAATTCCTCAGCATCATTTCTGTGTTTTGCAGTTTGTTGTGCACATAGATTTGTGCGTACCAAGATAAAAGGTTAAAAGTAGAGATAAGCATTTTATTTAGATGTTTAAATTAGGGCTGTCCTCAACCAAATAACTTGTTCGTTGATTAACACTCATATGATTTTGTTGACTGATCAATTAATCGACCGATCTATAAAACTGGAGAGAGAGACAACAGCAGGTATGCCTTTCTACCCCTCAGTACAGAGGTCAACCACCAGAGTGACCTCAGAATATGAAATTAAACACAATATTTACAATGAGCAAATTGCTCTTTTGACAATGGAAAATATGGCTGAATGTTTCAGTGCATTCTGCCTTCATAACATCCAGTCAGCAGCTTCACAGGCCCGCCCTGCACCCTTTTCACAGCACAGGTTTCAGTTGGCTTGAGTCCCTCGAAACACAAAAGGAATGAGTCTGGTATTATCCCTGGTGCTCTGTAAAACAGTATGGGTTATCAATGATGATACTGTGGTGGCTCTCAGTGGGGAATAGTTGCCCTTCACAGAGTGGAACATGACTCAGCCAAAGAGGTGGCATTTCTTTGAGACGCACAGATCTGGAGGTCTTTTAGCAGCTTACATAACACCCCAATGTAAAAAAAAAAAATCACATGAGTGTTTAAAGTTTCTTGCCATAACAGCAAAGTTACAACCGCGTTAAATGTTTGTTTACTATTGGCCACTGTTATAGGTCCTTTTCACAGCTGCCATTTTGACATGTCATAGCAGGGTAAACCCACACAGGGTAATTGATAAAATGAATAATGGTCCCATCTGGTGTATCACAGCCATTCCAGCAAGCCAGCATGCTCAATGCCAGCCCATGTCGTATCACGTGAATACACAAGATATTCTGGAAGTCAAAATTCATTAATATTCTGAATTGAGGATTTTTTGTTGGAGTAAAGCCAGGGGTTGATTTACTGCGGAGCTGATGAGTACATTGCTGACATGTGTGTGAAGAGCAGGGAGAGGCAATGAGCTGATTAATGGCAGGTGTGTAGGTGGGCCCAGATTGATGGCAGGAATGGAATAGACTCACACACACACACACACATACAGACATGCCATTGACATGGAAGACAGAAGGAGTAAACTGGTAAACACAAAGCAAAAGGAGACCGCACGGTAAAAACTCCTTCCAAATGGTATGAGTCTCATAACTCTACGACCCAAACTCACGTCATTTGCAGCCGGAGAAGAGAAATAACTTTGCTTTATACAGCCACAACCAGAACCTCAGCTTTACATTTTTGTGATCACAAGTTGTGTTCGAGGGCATGTCGGTGCTGCCGATGGCTACTCCAATGTCTCCGGATAATTTCTGAGTCGATTCCAGCCGTCTGCATTGATTTGCATCGCATGGAGGAGAATTTGCAGTCTGCCTTCCTCCAGCATCGAACAGACTATCCTCAGCCTTCCATGTGAAAACAGTCTGTGACTCCAGCTGGTGGATGAATGAAGGTACTGCACTCATCCTAAAGGCTTTTGCCTTTACAAAACATGAGGTGTCCAAATAACAATGGTCTAAATATAGTTGTCATGGAATTAAAAGTCAGGCAATAACAGACATTGTCAGATGTCACGTTACAGCAGGGCATCTTATTTCCTTACAAGACAGTCACCCATATATATGTACACTGTCTTTTTATAGAGGTTTTATAAATGTCTAGGTAACATAACCGCTGTTTAAACAGCATTTAAAATACTGTACTTCAATGTGTGGTTCGGCCTTAAATGACTTGAGAAATGTGCAGGAAGCTGCATCATAGGATGCTCAATATCTGTGACCTGTAACAGTGTCTACTTCAGAACAATATCTCCGCCACATAAAAATACAATGAAATATCAAGGTGTTCACATCACGAGTCCTTTTACACCACGCTACAAAATTGCTCTTTTGTTTATGCGGGGCAGCTAAAGTTCCTTGGCATGTTTATGGCCCGTATCCTCTTTCATGTTGACTTCCTTTTTTCTAATACGTGATGAGGAGCTAGGAGGTGATAGCCCTTTATTGTCGTATGATAAAAGATCCTTTTCAGCCCAGCATGTAGCCTACTGGAAGCCAGCTTTGGGATTAGTCTATCTAGGAGCAAATTAACTTCATTGAAATATATCACTGAACATCTTCAAACCTTTAAAGGCTAACAGGTTAAGAAAGACACAACTTATTAACAGTTCCAAGCATTGTGTGTTTTGTAAGTACATCCCATTTAGATGGAGTCCCAATTCCCAAGTTTGCATTCTTGACTTCAGTTTCAGTGGCACTTGCGCAGGCGGCAACTCCCAAGCCTTTATCTCTTCACTTCAGGTCATTCACTGTGTTCTCATGTATTGTTACAAGGATGAAAAAAACACAGTTAAAACAGAAACATGGCATGTGAAGTCACAGCATGCCTTCAGATTAGTGATATTTACAATAAATCGGATGGATGGGGGAGGAGGATGGAAAGAGCCAGAAACTAAATGTGGACCTCTGACTAGAGAAAAATAAACAAAAACAGAGAGAGAAAACTGGTAAATGATGACATATATAATGTTTTGAAAGTTTTTATACAACATTCTCTTGCTTGGGTCTATGCTATGAGTGATAGCTTGTTTCTATACAAAGGGGCTATGTTGTGTTAGTAGGTCAGGAAAGTTAAAGCTGCATGTAAACTGTGGCCTCTGAATACAAACGTTAGGACTTTGCTTCGATAAGATCATCAGTTTGAACTGAATCGCTGCACTTTAAAGTGGATCGCCACATTACTTGTTTCCTTTGGACCCCTTGTTGTCTGTCGTCGTCAGTGCTGTTACATTTATTGAGCAATAAAGCTCAAGTTCAGTTCACAGTTTGGTGATAGAACTGGAGTCTGGATTGATATGTCACATGAGTTTTTCTATTTTCTCTGTGAGGAAATTATGTTAGAAGTGTTATGGTCCGTCTCAAATTGTAACCCGACCAGTAAATGACCAGTAAAATTTGTATCCTACACAACTGTAGTATTAGAAATCAAAAGAAAACATGTCATGTCAACAATATTTACGGATCAGAATGATGAATGTTTATAACAGCAGAAGTTAAACTGCAACCCTGCAAATGCAAAGAGAGAATTGGATCCCAAAATGTGGCCTCTATTTCCAGACTGTCCAGTGTGTTTTTCGAGCTGATGATGGTTGAAAGCTCGTGAAAAAGCTTGCAAGTGGTCCTCTTACAAGCTTGAGATGAGGTTCCTTTTTTGTGAAGTAAACTCCAGTTGTGGAAGAACCCTACCCCTTGTGCTTTGTTGACATTACTCAATATTTGGGGTCTTCTTAAATCCCATATATAGAAAAGTATCAAAGCAGGGAGAGAGAGAGAGAGAGAGAGAGAGAGAGAGAGAGAGAGAGAGAGAG